TTCTACAAGTTAACTCTGATAAATTTTTCATACATATATATATATATATATATATATATATATATATATATATATATATATATATATATATATATATATGTGTGTGTGTGTGTGTGTCTGTATATGCGTCAACATTCAGATAAAAATTAATACATATATATATATATATATATATATATATATATATGTATGTGTGTGTGTGTAAAAAGACAATATAAATAAAGGCAAAGGAAAACCATTCTTTTACCAACGCGTTTAGTCCTCTGATAGACTTTATTAAGACTAATTTGTTCTGATCAATCTTATCAAGGTAAATTTTCCTTGATAAAATCCATCAGAAAAAGAAGCACGTTGGTAAATGTTAGTTTTCTTTTTGTCTTTATTTATGCATACATGCACATGCATATATAGAGTATGTATCAAAAATACTTTTACACAAATTGGGGGCGGCTTCCTCACACCAAAACAAGGACAAAAGTTCATATAAACATATGTCCTATATTATGAAATGGACGAAGTCCGACAATTATTTTAATATATTTATTGTTTATACGCTATTTTTATAGATACAAATATTTAAGTAAATGCTCTGTTTATAATGAACTGTATTAACAGCATTTACCGGTCTGAATGTTCGAGAAATTTCATAGAAAACTTGTGTCCTTGAAACAGAATTCAAACCTGTATCCTACACGGGATCGTCATATAGCCTGACGTGCTATACCATTTACCTACAGAGGAAGCGTCTGGTTAGCAAGTAATTAAAAGCAGTAATTCGACATTGATAACCACTCTCTTGACCCAGGGCAGCACAACCTCCTCAAGGCACTGTAGGCCCCCGTGTTGAGTCTGAGGCCCTCACCAACAAATTCGAGAGTTCTTTTCTTATCAGAACGATCAGAGTGAGTTTTTTGAGCTGCCGTACACTTTCCGAATCTTCTGCACTGTTCTCATATTGACACCCAAACACTCTCAAATGTTCGTATTGGAGCTCTCGGTGCGAATGTCAAGCAGTACAGGATGTCGTATCCAAATATTTGGCGGTGTGAATTACGTAATGGTGCTCTTTTTCTCACAGACAGTGCCCAACTGACCCTACTATACTGTACAGTAGTCAAAATAAAAACAAACAAACAACGCGCATGCGCGAAAGTAAAAATATAAAATGACGCCAAAAGTGTGTGTGTGTGTGTGTGTGTGTGTGTGTACATATGTGTTACACACATACACATATATATATATATATATATATATATATATATATATATATATATATATATATACAGGTGTAAAATTGTCCAAATCACGTAACAAGATTGTCCAATTGTTAGATTAAGCTTTGAACCGTTTATCTTAGAAATGATTAAAGATATCTTACTTGAATTCTCTGTGGTTTTTATAACATTATTGGACTCTACTTTGAACAATAAGAATGTATTTAGCTCTAAGTTGAAATGATGATGCCCCCCCACTTTCTGTTGTGACCTCCTGATCCAGTTTTCCTCTCTACTGTTCCCTCTTTTTTAAACTTATTCATCGTTCTCTTGATGGTTCTTGAATGAACTTTGAAGATGGAAGCCTGAGTATGAATGTTGATAGCATTACTGAAAGCTTGCATGATCTTTTTCCTCTCGCCATTACCCAGTTAGGAAGACAGCGTGTGTGTGTGAGGGGGGGAGGGACTGACACAAAACGATTTTAACTTGATCTCTTTTTAGCTGAATAAATGAATTAGTTTTTTTTTGTGATTCATACGACAAGTGGTGTCAAGATGTCTAAATGTCTTATCTGAAAACTCGGAAAAAGAAAATCAATTAGTTTAGTGTTTCAGATATTAAACATCTTGTGGGAAAGATGTGAGAAGCTGTTACACGATTACGATTTGGACAATTTGGCTGTTCTCTCTCTCTCTCTCTCTCTCTCTCTCTCTCTCTCTCGATATATATATATATATATATATATATTACTAACGCGAAAAAAATCAGATTCTTAAAAGTATTCCAATTTGCTATTTGTAGACAAAACTGACAACCCTGTACTCAATACTTGCGCAAAAATGGTCTCCATGTAAAAATAAAAGGAAGGCGTTTGATTGCTATCTGGTCAGTTTTATATATTCAGAAATAGGAAAATATTGTTAAAAATAAAGAAAAGATTACTTAACTGTTATGTAGTATCAAGCCGCCTCTATGGCAGTTAATGCGTGAAAATCTCTTTAAGATTAAGAAGAGACTTGCGGCCATAGAAATATAGTTCTCCATAAATATGCTGAGAATACCATGGATGGACATGAGGTTAACTAGGAAGATTGAACCAAAGTGGGCGCTTATGTTTAGAAACAATTGGGAGAGATAAAGAGAAAAACAGGCTTGGATAATTTGACCTTCACAGGACATATTGCAAAAGAGACAGAAAAAACTAATGAGCAACTTATCTAACAAGTTTGTGTAAATGGAAAGCAGAACAGAGATAGTAAACAAGTAAATATAGCTAAGAGCTACAAAAAATTGTATGTCATAGAGAGCCTTGATCACCCACCCCCTGAAGGGATACGGCACACAGAATAAGAAGAATATGATTATATAATTTTTAAGGTCGCTATGCAAACCATTGCGCGTGAAGTGCGCTTGATTCTTTGACAGTTCCGTACGAAACGAAGATAAACTCAGTAAATATCAAATATTGATTCATTGATTTGATTTTTTTTTACGGCTTTTCAAAATTTTTCAGGTTATTTAAAGCCAGAATATATTTTTAGATTGTAAGAATTTTGGGGAGATAATAATGATTTACAGATACAAATCCTATTAATGAATCCATAGCTGGGGAAGAAGATGTGAATTCATACTGTTATGGTGTCCTTCCTCTAAGAGTCTATGTTAGAGTCTTCCGCCTACTATAAGTTTAGAGAAGGAACAGTGAACAGTGAATGGATGGAGCGCTGGTTCATACGATACGCACTCACTAGTCGTGTCATACTCTTCTGATGTACTTACTGTTTAATATATGATATATCTGCAAACCTGCTTTTTGTTATTACTTAACCATTTACTTGGTCATAGCACATACCTTTCCCGAGTCTATTTACGCTTAAGTGAATATGACGAACTCGTTTGGAATTGGAACTCTTCTCTCCGATTTCCAATTCCGAGCCGTTATCCATTACACCAGCCGCATATCAAAACTTACAGTCGCTGGTATTCTCAAGTTGCTTAACTTTGGTGATCGTACGAGAATCGGTGTTTCAACGTGATAAGCCAGTAAATATATATAATGATAAAAATATCTTTTGACAGTTATTCAGTTTACAATAATATATATATATATATATATATATATATATATATATATATATATATATGATGTTCATTTGGATAAAAGCATCTTTTCAGAGTTTTATATTACACAACAAAACAGCTTGTCAGGTCTAAAAATGGTATTAATTGACTCCTGGACAAATCTGTCTCCTCATATGAATCCTGTGGAATTTATTTCAATCCTTCTTATGAAATAAAAAAATGTACAGAGAACCTTCTAATAGAAGAAGAATCACTTAATATTTTCAGTAGAACCTTAGAAATCCCATAAAAGATGACAGATCTGATACATTCGATACCTGTGAGAGTAAAAATATTTAAAATGTTGCTAAAAATATCTTACTATAATTTTGATTGTCCATTTATTAGTTAACACGACCATTATGTCCTGCCAATACCTTATAAATAATGGACTATTCTGTTTTGATCGCGCAGAAAAACGGAAATGACATATCGTGGGCGCTAGTTGGTTTCAGTTAGAAAAAGAAAGAAAGAAAAAGAATGGAAGATAGATATGTTTAACGTCTTCTGTCAATACCGTATAAACAATGGACTATTCCGTTTTGATAAAGTGAAAAGACGGAAAAGACATATTAGAGATGCTACTTGGTTTCAGTGAGAAAATGAAATAAATAAAGATAAAAAGAAAGAAAAAATGAAAGATAGAAGTGTTTAAGGTATGTTTCATTGAAATTTTAAAAGTTACCAATTTCAAATCTTTTCATTTGTAGCCCCTTCCTTCTTAAAATAACGATCAGCTTTCATATTTATGATTGTTATTGAAATATTTTATTAAAGTTGTGATTAAGCTCAAATATTTAACGATACGATAGGGCAATTTCTATGAATATTTTATTGTCGTAGAACTCGTCATGAGCTTATTCAATCGTTAACTTAAGAATTAAGATACATTAAAAAATTCAAAGAGGAAAGCCGTACAGTTTTCACAGATGTTTCTAGTTAAATTAAAATGTGCATAAAAAGGTTTCTTAAATCATTCAAATTGTTTAATAAAACTCTTATGTGAAAACAGAGGTCCTCATTTATGTTTGTCATGTGTCTATACAAATCATGTAAGTTTTTCAAAAACACGCGTATGCGCCCAGCAAATACGTTTGTGTCCAGATAAACCTGCAAACTCAGACGATAAAAATATTAGGTTGTCACATATGAAATGACGCATTTTTTGGGGGTTTGTTGTTGATCCGGTCGTCTAACGAAGTAATCTCCTTAGTATATAAGAAAATCTTTGACTCTTTTTCTTTCAATATATTGTTAATCATTAGCCCAATGAAAATGATTACAATGAAACAATGTCGAGTAATCTTACTCTCTGAGTACAAACTGGGTCATTTTGCCTCTGAAGCATTTCAGAATATCAAGGTAGCCTTTGGTAATAGTAATGTTGAAATCAGAATTGTATAGAGGTGATTTCAGAAGTTTTGTTCGTCTTGAAAATAAACCAAGGGGAAGAGCATGATCGGTTATCAGACATGATCAATTGAATGCTTTGGTTGATCAAAATCCAAGATCTACAGTCCGAAAACATGCAGCAGAACTCGAAATATAGCTTTCTCAAGAATATTTGCACGGAAGTAAATATAACGAACCCGACAGGAATTCGCACAGCTCTCCGAGTTCTAATTCTGCGTGGTTATCCTTTACACCACCCGCACATTCAAGCTTACAGTACCTGGTATTTCCTAGTCGTCACCCATTTAGATACTGACCAGATTCAACGTTGCTTAACTTCGGTGGTCGTAGGAAAGTCGGTGTTTCAACGTGATATGGCCGTAAGCCGACATTGAATTAAGAAATAGGACAACATAGTACGCAGTTATCAATGACATAAGCACAGTTTCAAACTTGATAATTATAAATGAAAACAAAGTACAAGTAACTCTTTAAGATATCAGGATGCCAGTATTTCTAATGCTGTAAAACTGGATAGCATGAAATGGAGACGCAATTTAAATATTCTGAGTAAGCTGAATAGCTAACATTCACAAATGTACTGTGTTAGTAGTGTGTACCAATAAATCATCAGTTACCTACCCTTAAGATCTTGGAGGTATGAAAAGCACCATGTAAAGTCCGTCAGTAGACGAGTAGTTAGAGTAAATTGCAATAAAGCTTTGGCATGAGTTTATTCACTGGTTTTGTTTTTACTAAATAGGGTATTAGAAATGGAAACAAGAGAGTTAATATCTCATACGTTACATTACAATTTATTCAACTCCTGACTTCATTAGTTATCGTCTGCTAGTGTGCGTGTGTGTCAGAATTTCCTCGATGCTAGACTATAATGTATTGGGTTTGATTATCTCCCTTGGTCTTCGTTTTGTGAAGAATCCGATAGGCGTTTTTTTCTTTTAACTCAAGATAGAAATGGTCTTGAAATTGTTAAAAGATATTTACGTCTTTTACTCACAAAAATAGCACCAGACATCAACGCACTAATAAATCATTACCTCTTTATTAACTGTTAATTTTCTACCTAACAATATAAATATATATAAATCCTGCACTAATCTTGCTCTTTTATCATAATTATATAATATTATTCAGTAAACTGTTTAACTGATGATTAGTTTTCAAATTGCCATCAGTTAAAAAAAAGTTAACGAACAGTAGCCAAAATAAGTTTGAGAAGCCTTGATATAAAGTCTTACGAATCTGTAAAAAATGTAAAAAAAAATATTAGGCAATGTATTCAGATTGTTAGTAACAGGGAAATAAATTTTAGCCAATCGTTCAACTACTTCAACTGCTTACAAGCAGAAGAGAAACCAATTTGTCAGCGGAAACATGTGCGCACTTCCGGTCCCTTCACTTATTTTCCTGGCGCAGCACAGTCTTCCTACTATTCGATTTGGCCGTGATTCCAAATTAAGCTTCGTAAGAATTTAAGCTTGCAAAAATTCACATGCCACGAGTGTACTGTTCAGTATATATGTTCAAGTCTTAATTTAGCGAAAAGACTTTTTGAAATTTGACTTTTTCGTCTTCAGCGTATCTTCTTTTATGTACTGTTTTCATTCGTGACTCTTCACGACTTCTTTTCCTTTGTTGATAAGCAATGATTGTCCCGTTATTATCTCTCCCAATCCCTGTTCTGGTATTCATTTACGCAAGTTCGTTAGGTTGGTTAATTTCTATTTCCTTAGCACCCTCTTACTTTCAATCTGTCCTGTAAGTGTTAAATTCTCCGAACTTTCTTTTCTCATTATGGGGTTCATAAATGTCAACTCTTATAAGTACAAATGTCCTTCCTGTTTCCAATATTCTTCTTTTATTTGTCGGTTCCCTCTAGGAAGTGGGCGATCATGTCTCTCTACAACTTCCTATCCTTCGTAACTGTAAGCATTTTTTGTTTACTTACACCCCAGTCTCTGTTCTGCCATCCATGTATACAACCTCGTTAGATAGTTTACTCGATGTTTCCTTTTTCCTCATTCATTTTAAATATGTCCTATGAGTGTCATATTCTCCTAGCCCTATTTCCTCATTATACGAGCCAGAGATTTCAGGGCCTATCTTTCTGATTCGAAATACAAGTGTCTTTTTGGTTTTCATTTCCCTTAAAGCACTGCAAGATCACTTTAGCTATAGCGGATAATATTCTTCTTTTATGTGTCGTGCCCTTTCAAGATGTGGACGATCATGGCTCTCTACAAGTTCCTATCCTTTGTAACTTTAAGAATTTTTTGTCTACCTAATACATACTAGTCTCTGTTCACGAACACGTTAGGTAAGTTACTTGTTGTTTCAGTCCGCTTACAGTATATTCTTCGAGTGTTAAATTCACCAAAGTCGCTTTCCTCCTTATGTGATCCAGAAATTTTAACTGTATTTTTCTGATTCTAAGTACAAGTGTCCTTTTTGTTTCCATTTTCCTTAACGCGTTACAGAAGCACTTTAGCGATGGTGGTCAGCAACCTTCTTCTTTTATGTATCGTGTCCCTTCAGGACGTGGGCGATCCTGGCTTTGTACGTAGGTTACTGGAAGTTTCCTTGTGTCTTAATTGCTTTCACCGATGAATCGTTGAGGAGAACCATATTTCTAAACTATGAATACTGCTATAATGACTGAGCTGTATCGGTAAGTAGTTTTTTTTAGATAGCTTCGAGCTTTTTCTTCTTGTCTTAAGCGGAGGTGGCGGGCGGGGGATGCCACACGCCGCTTGTGCCTGAAGCAAATTAGAAACAGCTGGATTGATTCGCCGATGTGTTTTGATTATTCATTGAGAATATCAATACTCTTAGCGCTGACGTCATCGAGGTGCCCCCTACCGCCACCACAACGAAGGCATTAACAATGAAGAGAGGCTGTATCTGCGCTACGCTAGTGCTTCGAGAATATCTATCTCAGTCTGTTCCTATCTATCTATCTATCTATCTATCTATCTATCTCTCTCAACCTGTTTCTATCTATCTATCTATCTATCTATCTATCTATCTATCTATCTATCTATCTATCTCAGTCTGTTCCTATCTATCTATCTATCTATCCATCTATCTATCTATCTATCTATCTATTCATCTATCTCAGTCTGTTCCCATTCATCTATCTATCTATCTATCTATCTATCTATCTATCTATCTATCTATCTATCTATCTATCTATCTCAGACTGTTCCTATCTATCTATCTATCTATCTATCTATCTATCTATCTATCTATCTATCTATCTATCTATCTATCTATCTCAGTCTGTTCCTATCTATCTATCTATCTATCTATCTATCTATCTATCTATCTATCTATCTATCTATCTATCTATCTATCTATCTATCATTTTTAGTTGTTTGTGTTTTGGTTTTAGATACCGACTAACGGAAATGTTTCCTCGTAATTTTCAACCCGGGAATCTGCGTTCTCAATGCCAATTTTGTTTACGTGAATACTTCCATTAATTAAAGCATGGCCCTGAACAAAAATCTATTCCCGAAAAATTTAAATCAGCAACTATATTGAGTGCAACACAAACAAAATGATAATAAACTCTCAGAAGACTGGCGATAATAACATGGCTAGTGTCATATGGGGTAAATACTATAGCTCATCTGATAAACACAACTCTTCTTCAAAATTGTTATGGCCTGTTCTCTGAAGCTTCGCATTCCAAAACTGTTTGATTTGACTTGGTAAGTGTTGACTTGGCGCTGCAGTTCTATTCTCCCACCATTATCTCTTTTATTAAACTTAAACCGCAGTATCAGTTCACTGTCTTATATTTATAGCTATTTTAATGTGCAGATGGTGTAATGGATAACGGCTCGGAGTGAGAACTTGGAAAACCGAGTTCGACTTCCAGCTGAATTAGTTACATTCACTTATGCGCAAATACCCTTGGGGAATTTATGAATCCATCTCTCTCCCCCAGCTATGGGTTAAATAGTAGAGAAGACTGAGAATTTCAACCTTGATTAGCAGACAAACTAGAAGAAGGACAACTCTAAATTTAAGAAAAATCCGTATGTGGCCTTGGCGAAGCATATATTATGTCCAGCTAATGAAAGGATTGCGGTGTTCACAATGATTCCACAGCGGTCGGCTTTGGTTCAGTTAAAACTGAGTTTGCGGAAATCGTCGTTTTCTGTATCCCTAAATGTAATGCTCTTACGTCGATTTTGAGTCTTGCGAGAATAGAACAAATTCAGCTGGCTTGAAAGAATAATCCCCTAACATTGTTTGTCTACTTAATATCTTTTCCAGTCTCTGTTCGGCCATCCATTTACACAAGGCCGTTAAGTGGATTAGTCGATGTTTCCCTTTCCCTGTTTTATTTTAAATATGTCCTATGAGTGTCATGTTCTCCTAGCCCTATTTCCTCATTATATGATCCAGAGATTTCAGGCCTTTCTTTCTGATTCTAAATACAAGTGTCTTTTTGATTTTCATTTTCCTTAAATCACTGCACAGGCACTTTAGCGATAGTGGACAATATTATTTGCGATCAATAGCTACAGAGTCAAAGTACACTATTTACATTATTCGGACTATTGCCCTCATCTTTGTCGCCATATTTATTACAACGTTTCGGCCGTTGTACACTGTGGCCTTCTTCAGGTGGTTGAAATGTCGAAATGAACTCTTTATTTCGCTCACTGGAGTTGACTGTTCTAGTTGAACATGCCATGTCTAATGGATGTCAGTTGTCTCCTGTTAATTCCCCTCTCCCACTCTCTCTCTCTCTCTCTCTCTCTCTCTCTCTCTATCTATCTATCTATCTATGTCAGCCTGGCCGCTTCTTTTGCTCTATCAGGATGTGCGATAGCTAGAAATGAGAATTAGGTGAGCCGAGTTAGAATTCAATTCGGGTTCGTTATAGTCACTCATGTACAAATTCCCATCTACTCCCCCTAGTTGTGGGTTAAATAGTAGAACTTGTATCTGGAAAAATAATTCTTATTCTCAAAAACTTGTTAATGCAATATTCACTCGTAAAAAATAATTATTCTTACAATCCAAAATATATGCCGGCTTTAAATAACCCACAACGGGTTGATAAGCCGTAAAAATAATCTATCTATCTATCTATCTATCTATCTATCTATCTATCTATCCTAGCCTGTTCACATCTAAGTACGTCTCATCCCGTTTGTATCTCTCTTGATTGCTTCCATCATGGTTGATTTCCGCACTCAGTCAAAAGCCAGGATTATGAGTGTTTATCTTGAAACCAGGAAGTCATACCTCCTGATTCTTATAATGGCGTAGTAGAGACCGAAGAGGTTGCCTCCAGCTGTAGACGAAGATTACAAATACTAGTTTTTCAAAACCGGCAAAAACTG